CCCCCCCCCTTACAGACAAAGCTCATCCTATGCTATATGAGGTTGATGGACTTTAGACTATGATCACTATCGATAATTATCTAAGCAGTACAGATCCCCAGTATAATTGTAGGCTGGATGCCAGATTGTTTCCAGGTCCAACATGCACCCGTGGAAACTTTGCCCTATACTGTACAATAATTAAGAATGCACTGTAAATTCAGCTAGTTTCACAGTAGGTAGGAAGGAAATGAGATATTTTAGTGGTGTTTTAAATTTGTGGTTGAAGCAATTCTGCAGTGCAACTTAATAACAGTTTAATAACAGTTTAACAGTTTATTTATAAAAACCAGCCTCGCAGCCTGTACAAAAACATGCTGAATAACACTGATTTTTTTTACAGTTACTTGTCTGGCAGATACAAATTAACATTGCAATACTTAGTAATACTTACTTACTACAAGTAACCTTACTACCACAGTGTCACAAATTGCAATCATTGTGAAAAGAAAACTAACATGACCACAAAAGTTCCAACTTTTATATTAGATGACCCCAACACACACAAACACACTGCTCAAAAGTTTCTTTCTTTTTTTTTCTACGCTTATTTTTTTGTTCTATTTGCATGTTATTTTGTGTAGTACAAAACACAAGTGTGAGTTATGGTGCAGTGGTTGGGTCGTGTGGTTGGTGTGTGCAGGTTTGTTCAACTGTACCGAGTCTGTGGAGGTACGTTCTATCAGCTGGTCATTGGCATTTGCTGCAGGCACGCTGTCAAATACCCTTCAAACAATTCTGATTTTTCATACCAATTCCAATAATATGAAAACACGAAAGCTCTAATAAGTCTACAATCATTACATAATACCATCATCATGTGATTTTTTTTCTTAAATGATTCTTGGCCCCAAATAACACTGTATGTGCACATGCAGGTACATTGCAGCTTATTATTATAATTACTAGTATATTGGAGTAATAGTAGGTTCTGCCATTGTGCTATGTACAACTGGTATATGTCACCATTTTAGGCACACATAACTATTTTAAGCCCTGTGATACATTTGCATATTCATATGATACATGTAGGTTTCATTGTTATATCCCAACAGAAAGACGACAAGGGAATTCGATCACATCTTTTTGTAGAGAAATATTTTGTCTCTTTCTTTATACTTCTTGAAAGAAATGCAGCTTATTTTATTTCTTCACAGTAAACATCATTAGAATGGCGTCCAGTGAGGCTGACATCACCCCCCGGGAGCGGACATTCCAATTTCAGGACTCCCTCCCCTCACTGCCTCTCCCAACTCTCAGGGATACACTGGACAAGTACCTGTACTCAGGTGAGTGACTTGAGTACTATTAGTTTCCAGTCTTTGATTATACTGCTGTGTGGGTCCCTGACACAGGGGTGGGCAGCAGTTGGCTAGTCTTCACACCACACCTTAAAGCAACTCTATCAAATCTCTTTAGCTCCGGAGTCCTACATCCTCTCAGCTCCGCAAATAGCTATAGGTAGCAGGTAACCAATTTGCGGAAAGGATGTATGTACGTAGGATTCAGGAGCTAAAATAGGTTTGGTAACAAGGCTAACTCTATAGCATGCCACACTCTCTACTGTCCTTCTTGACAAACTCCATCCAGAAGTTCCTTGGTGTACCCTGACCTCTGTTGCCTGCAGCTAGTAACTGTAGTTCAGTTATGGTGTTGATGCAGCCACTTAAGTGACTTTTGTGGAGAAAAGTACATTGTAATAGTTTACTAGTTGAGGTATTCATAAACTAGCTGCAACAAAAAAGACTAAGGCTATGTACAGTACAAATGCATATGCAGGTTATCATACTGGTTGGAAAATTCGCTAGCTTTTTTTGACAAGCACAATGAACAGGGGAGCACAACTTGAAGTCTTTTTTTTCCAGTCAAGCCACATGTGAGTGAGGAGGAGTATAAGAAGACAGAGGCAGTTGTTAAGGAGTTTGAGATAGGGGCAGGGAAGGAGTTACACAAGAAACTGCTGGAAAGAGCCAGCACACACAGGAACTGGGTAAGGACAATTTTTGGGTTTGGGAACTTTCACAGTGCCATGATTTCGTGGAAAAGACAGGTAACTGCAAAACTGGTGGAAACATTTCAAAACTTATGATAGTCCATGGGGCATTATCATTACTAGTAGATAGCAATATTTAGAGTTAGATGTTCAAAGGTTAGGTGTAACAAGTCATTCGGTGTAATGTAGCTAGCTGCCACCACACCGCGTGCCTACGAAGCCGGTGTGTTACCCTGGTATATGTTGTAGCAGATATACTGGCCATACAAATATAGATACAGATTTTGGGGTCAAAAAAATAAAAGCACATTTAAGATAGACAAAGTAAATGTAGAATAAAACTATTTTTTTATTACTGTTCTTGTGCCCCTGTAGCTGTCAGAATGGTGGTACAACTTTGCGTACCTGGAGCCGCGTTACCCGACACCCGTGTACGTGAACATCTCAGGCCCAGCTCCGTTCCACGAGCACTACATTCTAAATTCCCCTTCTTTTATTGTACAATGTACTGTATTTTACATGTACATGTACTTTGACCCAACAATCTAACAAAGATTATAATAAGTCTAGAAATGCTTGTTTTCTAGGTCAGCCTGGGTGCCATCCTATTTGTATAATGGAAATATAATGTAATGAAATTAATGAAATCATTTTTTCATCATTTTTTTTGTGTCCCTCTACTCTAGCTGTCGGAATGGTGGTACAACTTTGCGTACCTGGAGCCGCGTTACCCGACACCCGTGTACGTGAACATCTCAGGCCCAGCCCCGTTCCACGAGCACTACTGGCCGCCGCGGGACGGGTCACAGGTCGAGAGGGCAGCCATCGCACTCTGGCACACGCTCAACTTCTGGAGACTCATGAAATAGTGAGTATATAGTAGAGGGAATTCATTCCTCAAGCTACCGACATCTTGCACATGAAATAGTGAGTTCAGCCTTAAACATAGTTAAGCCTAAATCTAGCATTATTTAACCTGGTCTCTGTCAAAGTGGACAGCCACACATTTAACACATCAAAGAACCCACCACACTTTTTAAAAGATCTGGTTCATTTGATATCTCAAAAAGGTGACAGTCACCTGTTATGTCAATACATCTACACACATGGTAAATCTCAATTGAGCAATGAATAAATACCGGTAAATACTTGTATCTACAGTATGACTATTTCAATTACAAAAAAAAATTGAGGATGATAACATTCTTTTATGTCTAGTATTATACATGTAGAAGATGGATTTCTGCCAAGTGTATTGGCTTATAATATATTAGCTGCTAGTACTTATTAATAAGAAGCTATGAGAAAAGTTCATTATTTAGCATAAATTTTTGTTATTCTATGTTACAGTGAGGAGTGGCCAGTAGACAAGATAGAGCGAGGGAAGACCCCCTGTAGTATGGAGCAGTACCGTCACCTGTTCAACACCTGTAAGGTCCCGGGGGAGACACGGGACAAGATAGTCTCTCACTTCAAGACAGGTGGGAGAAACATCAGATTCTGCTAGCCTCCGTAGCAGGCTTATAGAGCTGGGTGTTTGGTGGTCTTCGGCTGTTTTCTGATTAGCCCAGTTCTAAAACGGGGGTAATTCAACCAGGCCGGCTATGTTGTCTATATGCAATCAGAAAATAGCACATAAAAGCTCCCAAAGACCCTGAAGACCCCCAGTTTTTGGCATGCTGTGGAGGCTAAGATTCTACTTCATTCAGGTGTAATCTGTGTGTAACACCACACCCATGTATTTCCTCGGTTTTCATATTTTTAAAGGTGAAAATACAGAAAGAAAATGTCATAATGAAAGCAGATTACAAATTTGGCTCTGTAAAACTGAGCACACCAAATGTACACATGTACCAATCATTTCATTGTAACACTACACAGTATATGAAGGAGACAGTCCCACCCATGTGTGTGTTCTACATGCTGGAAGGATCTTTAGTGTAAACGTCATTGATGACAACAACGTGCCCTACACTCCACCTGAACTGCAAAGGTAAAGTTATTTTAATCTGTGCATGTTTCAATACCATCTTACATACACACTGTCTTGTAAATAGTATCTTCATTTTATAATATGATATGATATGATATAATTGATATACATGTATACCTGATAATATGTACTAAAATGTCTTCTTTCTTCTTCTTCTTTACTCATTCTCTTCTGAGGTGCAGCGTGTGAAGTTTTGTCGCCAGTACTTTTTGTCTTTCATAGCAGACAAAAGTTCCAATCCTTGTATGTCTGTTGACTAAAATGTCAACAGATGAAATTACTTTGATTGTATAGCTTAGAACCTAGTATATAACTAGAAAGGCAGACATTTGCTTTTGTGGTGTGATGAATCCATAATGACATATATTACACGGCTTGTCTTTATCTTTTAAATGACACACAGTTTATGCAATGTATGTATCTACCAAGTGCAGAACTAGCTCAATTATTACCGCAACGGGCACCACCCACGGACCTTTTGGCCTTGTGGTTGGTGTGTTGCAACACCATGCAGTTGATACAAGTACATGTACATGCTATTTATAGTAATTCAAAATAAGAACGTAGTGATGTCCACATCCCTACAGGCAGCTGTTAGTGATAAAACAGAAGTGTTCAGGACAGCCGGCCGGACCAGGGGTGGGAGCTCTGACTGCTGAACACAGGACAAAGTGGTGGCAGGTAGGGTGGACTGCACATGCTCACTCCATTCTTACCTGTTGAGGTTCACTCTTCTGATTACAACATTACAAAATGGTTAGGAAGCATGCTGGTCTGTCCAAAAGTTGGTCCAAAGAGATGCCGATTTGAGTCTTTGTCGACAGTACTGTCCTTTAAGCAAAAATTTTAAAATTTACAGACTCTGCCCGTAGAATTGCCAATTCTACCAGATTGGAGTTTCTACCCTGACAGATATACTCTATATGGCAACAACAACTTAGTGTGTAACTAAATTAAATATAATTGTAAGTTTTAAAAGTATTTCAACTGAAAAACACATGGTCCAACAGGCATGTATTTTATTGTAAGGCTGATGTAAATCTCTTATTTTTCAGTTAAGAAACAGGCTAATAGAGTTGGATGTCAGAAATCAGCAGAACCTGGAGACCATTGAGAAAAGTTTGATCTGTTTTACCCTTGACGAGGCTTCACCAGCTAATGACACAGAGGTAAACTCAGGAGAAAATTACCCATTGTCACACACCCGACATGCACGCTGCCGGCAAGGGTTGTACTTGTAGTCCTTAGGATGGAATGTTAAGCTGTGGTCCACTCGTCATTGTGCTTGTTGCAAAAAGTTAAGGGAATTTGCAATGAACGTATAACATCAACTATCATAATTTTGCCAGGTCACATATATTTGCCTCCAAGAGTATTGGCTCTTTAGTGAGGTCAACTGGTTTGAGACTTTTGTCATAATCACTCGCAACAATGATAATGAAATGCTCTTTTTTCTGTATTCCAGATCACCATCCAAGGCCTGACTGGCGACTGTTTTAACCGCTGGTTTGACAAGTCTTACAACACTCTGATGTTTAACAACGGAACACTGGCATCCAACTGTGATGTGAGCATTGTTTTTCAAGTTGTAGTATTATCCAGTATCACAACACACCTAATAGTCTGTATTAGTGTCTGTTTAAAGTTAAAACTTTTGATCCAACACAAGGTAAATTCTGTCACCTGGAGCTTTCGACCAGTCACTCTGGTCTTCCTCAGTAGATGTCACACTTCAAAGAAGCCATGTGACAAGCCTCACTGGGTCAGTCTATTGAAGAAGACCAGAGTGACTGGTCGAAAGCTCTATGTGGGAAAATTTACCTTGTGTTGGATCAAAAGTTTCAACTTTAAACATGTAACTACCAACACAGATAAACTTTCATGATACAAACTGTAGTTGTATTAATGTCCTATAGACCTGTCTGAAAGTGACTTAAACTAATCAACTTATAATTCTCCCTTCCAGCATGCAGCCTTTGACGGGATAGTCCTGGTGGTACTAAACTGGTACATGGATCAGAAAATAAGAGAACAACATGGAGTCTGGAAGGTAAGATCAAAATATCTCAACCTAAAGCAGACACACAGACACGCGGAAAACAAAACCTCTGTAATCATATAATAAAAAACTTGTACATGTACATGACCCTACATGTACATGTGTAGCTTGTCCAGATTGCAAGATATCAAAACCGGAAGTTGTGCTGCAGTACCAGGGGAAGCCGCTAGGGGGCCCAAAATCTAATCAGGTTTCACCACACCCTACCGACACACCAAGTATGAAACCAATGCATCCAGCCGTTCTTGAGTTATTTTGTTGACTAACAGACAGACAGACTGACAAAGGCAACTGAAAATATAACCCCCATGATATGTCATGGAGGTAACAAACGAAACAAACAACCCTTTACTGACAAGTCTCTATGTTTCCAGGGTACAGTTCCTGATAGGAAGGTCCCAGAACCAGAGGAGCTGGTGTTCACTATAGATGAGGGGATAGGGAAGGCCATACAGGACGCAGCGTTACAGTATCAGGAAATGGTAGCACGCTTTTTTGTTGACTCAAACATTCATTGAAACATTAACATGATAGTATTATAAAACCTTTGAGTATAATAATGATGAATACACAAGGAGTTATTGTTACTCATTGACAAAGCAACTGGATAGATTTTGGAAATTGTCAGACGTTTCAAGTAGCATCCACTACCTTTCGTCAGTGACTGTTGGATGATACTTGAAACATCTGACAGTTTTCAAAATCTGTCCAGTTGTTTGAGTAACAATTCCTAAGTGTTTATCTCATAGATACCCAGGTAGTATAATTTAGATGACATTGAAGAGTTAGTGTTGTGTTCTGTTGTATATGGTGATATAAGGCTTATAATTAGTTGTTTCCTTAAACTGCAAAAGAAATCACTGAGTGAGCAAAGCAATTATTAATAATTTATTCAATTATTCATAATTTTTAGATATATGTTCATTTTGTAAAAGCAAGTTGATTTGTGATATAAACTTTGTTTTTGCTTTCCTCCCCAGGCCAGTGACTTAGCTGTTCACTGCTTGAAGTTTGAGACGTTTGGGAAGAACTTTACTCGTTCTCAGAAGCTTCACCCAGACGGACTGGTGCAGTTATCCCTGCAGCTGGCCTATTACAGGATGTATGGCAAGTGAGTACTTCACTTTTTATCTTTACCGAAGCAAAACGTTTTGTTTTTGCTCTGTTTCCTCTTCTTCTGTTCCAAGCACTGACCTCTAACCTGGTCAATGACCTGAACCAGACTGTCTCTCACCATGGTAACTAGTGTTGGGTTACGTCATGTTGCAATTTTATAATAGGAGGGATTTAGACTCCTGTCACCATATATGTCAATGACCTCAACCAGACTGTCTCTCACCATGATAACTAGTGTTGGGTTACATCATGTTGCAATTTTACAGCAATAGGGATTTAGACTCCTGTCATCATATATGTGAAGGTATTTGTCGATGAGTAAGAATTAAAAGTTAGAGTAGACCATATGCGAAGGTAGACATTGTTGCAAATGTTACCTTTCTAGTTTCACTTTATTTATTTTTCCAGGAAGATACACTCGGGTCGAAACTTGAACTGTTTTTCATGTAATTTCAGACCAGCGCCATGCTATGAGACAGCGAGCACACGTAAGTTCTACCTGGGACGGACAGAGACTTGTCGCACCTGTACACCTGAAGCTGTGGACTTCTGTAGGGCCATGCTGGACAGGAATGCCACGGTAACATCATGTCATTGTTTCTAATGGGACACAAGAAGTTTGATAAGTCTGTCATTATGGGTCATGCATATGCGAACGTGCGATTTTGACCTAGTTCTTAAGAACTTTGCGATTACGTAGCTTTTAAGGCACCACACTGAAATATGCTACATGTATTGTTAGGTCTTGCAAGTAAGTAAACTGACTCTTTTCCTCTTATTAGTCTGCTGAGAGACTGCAGGCACTCCGAGCTGCCAATGACAAGTTTATTTGGCTGATGGGAGAGTGTGCCTTGAACAGAGGTATCTTTGCTACTTTTTTACAGTAAACAGTAAGCTTGTTGCAAATTGAAACTGCAATGAACCAGTTGACTACTAGTACTTATCATGTCTCTTAACAATTAAATATTATTTCTGGAAGTCTGAAATCTCTGATTTCTTGTTTTCCAGGTTGTGATCGGCATCTGTTAGGACTCCAGATTCTGTCTGATCAGGCTGGAATGACTCGACCAGAAATCTATACAGATCCATCATGGACTAAAAGGTACCCCAATATTTTTCTTTGTACAACCAGTATAACTGCCCTTCGGCGTAACACACCAGCTTCTGTATCTGTATAGCCGGTATAACCGCCCTTTGGCGTAACACACCAGCTTCTGTATCTGTATAGCCGGTATAACCACCCCACGGCGTAACACACCAGCTTCTGCATCTGTATAGCCGGTATAACCGCCCTTCGGTGTAACACACCAGCTTCCCAGGCTTGAATCTGTTTAGGATTAGAGAAGAAAAGTCGATATTTGAATGTCTCTGTTTTTCAGCGGTGGTGGAGGAAACTTTGTCCTGTCCACGAGCACCCTGGGATACACGTCCATATATGGTGGCTGTGCTCCGATGCGTCACGACGGCTACGGGAGCTTCTACAAGATAGAGAATGACTCGTGAGTTCACAAATTATAATTGTTTTTTTTTTTTAACAGTTTAACAATTTTTTTGGGTTTTGCTTTCAGGTGGCAAGGTAGTTGTGGTTAGCGTTGTTGACTCAGAATCTAAGGGTTCAGGGTTCGAATCTCTGTAGCAGACTACAATGTGCCCTTGGGAAAGACACTTTACACCTAGTTCCTCACTTGATTTGGGTGAAATTAGTACCAAGCTTTAAATAGGGACGTCCTTTCATATGGGATGTACATGTGTAAAGCACAGATCCCATGTTTGAGGAGGGCCATGCCACAAGCACATTAACCCACCACAATTTTAACAAGAAGGGTTTTCCTATCGCTAGAGTCAGCAGTGAGTGGTAGTATGTTGTCAACGAAGGTTAGTCATCTGGGTAATGTGATGCACAACAAAATTGTCACTCAAGCAACGGGATAGACTTTTAGCTTAAGTGATAATTTCCTTGTGTAATAGTGTGTTGATACCCCCATTTTTCTCTAGAATGGCGATCTGTGTAACAGCGTGGAAGAGTAACCCGGACACCGATGTGATGAAGATGGCGGGAAGTATCGAGCAGTCTCTGCTGGACATCCAGCAGCTCTGCACCTCCAGTAGGATGTAACTTAACCTGGGTTAGAGCCTACCTGAAGGAGTCTTCGAATGTGCTTGATTTTGGTGATCATGAGAAGTGTTGAATTTGCACTGGTTAATGTAAGGCCTAGGAAAAAAATGTTGTGCTTCCTGTTTCCGGACTGACCGTAGAAAAAAACTGCTGACACTTGACTATTTTGGGGGGTGAACCCCTGCAAGGGACATAAATTTTTCCAGCTTTTCAACCTTTTCTAGCTCCATGATCTGACACCTGAGTGATAAAACGTTGTAAAATTGGTTTTTGAACAATGACATTGAAAATAAAAGTGTCCTCATTCAAGTTTTACTTTGTTAAACTGTATTGTATAAGTTGGACCCCTATACAGATATCACTGAAGTCTAAAAAAAAAGACAAAAAATCCTCACCTACCGACCCTAATTTTTTTCAGGACTGAAACAGGAAACACGTTTTTTTCCTAGGCCTAACAGCTGCATAAGTTACATGTAGCAGGTAGAGGGTTAGAAATATGTAACATCACTTAGAGTTAGTTGAGATCACTTAGAACAGTTGCATGTTCTTTTTCAGTGATTGAGTGTGAATCATAGATGATTGTACACAGGAACCTAACTCCAAAAGCTGGCATGGCCAAGAAGAGAAATGCAGAGAACAATGCAAGTATATTAAGAACTCATAGAGTGCAGACCTATTTGAATTAGTATAGTGGTGTTACTGCACTTGCCTTGTAAAAAGAGTCATGTTTCTTTTTTCTTTGATCAGTAATGTTGACTTAAATGTTGTGGAAATAGCAGTGCACTCTTTCATTTTTCAACTACATCATGTAAATTCATGTTGTAATCTTGCTTTTAAGTTTTAATTTTAGGTCATAGTGGTACAAGAGTTACATTGTTCAGTATGTTATTGTTTTTACTGTATTGTAGAAAGTCAACTTGTCAAGTTACTTCCAGAAAACGCATCAACACACACACTGGAGCTGGTATTGGTCATGTATTTAGATCGTATTGTCTTAAGTCTAAAAACAGAACACTAAACCATGCTGCTACATACTTTCACATATTTGCTGCTGTTACAGAAATTTCACGTATGTTTTCACTTGGTTACTGATACATGTGGGTAAGTTACATAAATAATCAGGTGTGACAGTTACTACATATGCTTACAAGAAAGTACTGCCAATCTGCTAAAATGCAGCATCAAGGCATTTAACGATAAATAATAAGAAACAGTTACTAGTTTCCCTGCCATATTTGCTTTTATCATAGCATCTTGAATAAATAACTCAGAGTCTATAATTCTAACACAAACTCATTGTCCATTTACGTGATATAGGTCTAGGAATGAACAATTGTCCAGTCAGCAATGGTGTTGTTCTAGACAGAGAATTTTGTCAGGCACAGCAAAAAACATCTAATTGTAGTCAATGAGTCAACACTCTTCATTCAATACACAGAAAGTTAATGTGTTGAGTTTTCAACTGTCCTCTTCTTCAAAATCAAAGTGACTAACAATCTTCAAAGGTCTTATGACTTACTGGAAACAAGATGTCAACAATTGGTCAAAACAGTTTTAATTCTGTACTATCGTGTTAACTGTCAACACAGATGAAGTTAGAATGAAATGTTTTAGCCGTGCCGTCATTTTGTCCACCTGTCCAGTTCTTACTGCTGACCAGGACTGCTGCCATTCCAATCCGTCTTCAGTCAGTTTCAGTCTGATTCTAGTCTCCACCTGAAAATGAAAAGTCATACAAAAATAAACTCAGGTTACGATATTTGCTGCAATATTTTCTTTAACTTAATAAACCTATTTTTTTTTTTTTTTCAACATGTAATCACCAGACGTGGTGACGACACACTCAAGTTTTTTCAACTTATATTAATGCCGCCACCAACACAGGGGACAAATACATGACAGGACAATACTCATTTACACCTGAGCTAAGTGAGGAAAGCCGTGTAAAGTGCCTTTCCCAAGGGCACAAGATCGGTGGCATGTCAGGACTCGAACCCGGGACTCTAAGTTCCGAGTCGCGCACTCTGCCGCTACGCCACACGACCCCACGGGGGTATTTCAACTTTTAAATCCAAAAAAATTCAATGATCAATGCACTAAAGATGATACATTAGCAAGGAAATATGAGTGCGTGATCAGCACATTTTGCGTATAGCGTATTCAACGATTTAATCGTACGTAATGCGTTGTAGCCAGTTGGAATTTATCATAAAGCGTAGTCGAGAAGTTTCCTGAATTCAGTAAAATACATAGCCAGCTGTCAAAATTCAGCATAGAATGTTGTCGGGACACCCCCCCCCCCCTGCAGGCCCCCCAAGATCAAGAGAGATGGGAGATGAAGAGAAAAGTACATACCGGCACAAGCGACACAGTCACAGCGCTCGATCCTGGGCAGAACTGTCGTCTCCCTCTCCCCGTTCCCACAGTCAAGCTCCACGAAGCGAACAGGCTGCAGGGAGTCCAGCGTGAAGGTACAGCACTCACACACCGTCTGGGGGCAGGGAAGGAAGGAAGGAATGGTTTATTAATAGTTTTAAAGTAGTACATATACATGTACATGGCAGCTATAACAGGCTGGATGGAGTCCAACGTGAAGGTGCAGCACTCACACACCGTCTGGGGGGAAAATGGTTTATTAACAAGTAAGGAGTTAGTGAGTGAGTGAGAGTGAATGGATGAGTGAGTGAGTGGGCGAGCGAGGGAGTGAGTGAGAGAGTGAGTGAGCCGGTGAGCGAGTGGGTGAGCGAGTGAGCGAGTTGTAGCCACTTGGAATTAGCATAAAGCGTAATCGAGAGGATTCCTGAATCCAGCTCTCAAAATTTAGCGTAGAGCGTTGTCGGGACCCCCCATGCAGGCCCCCATATAAGATGTAAGATGTAAGTAAGATTTTGTGTACCTGGTAGTAAGGCTGCATGACGTTGATCTGTGTGTAAGATTTGCACTTCCCAGAGCAGAAGCTGACCTGGATGTTTTTCGCCTCGCAGCTGTTGTGGCTCAGGTTACGCACCTCTGTGTGGACCTGGCACAACGACGCTGCAGGGGGAGAAAGATGAATGCTATAAGCTTTAACATTTGCAAAGCAGTCTGTTCAAGTAGATGAAAGTTACACATCCAGGTAAAACAATATTCAAAGACAAATCAAACTCTACCACTGGATAAGTAATGGAGATAACTTTCGGACATTTCGAGTGACATCCGTCACTCTTCTTCAGCATAAAAATCCACAAATACCTTCACATGGTCTTAGGCTTAGCAATCTACTGCTCTTAAGTTTTGAACTTAAACACATTTGGTGACCAGCATACATTTTGTAGTTACTATTCTTCCTGTGGCCCTACATTTATACAACACTAAATGACACACAGAAAGATAACAGAAAAACAGAAAAAACAACAAAGAAATAACAGAAAACCCGCAAAATCCTTATATCGACACCAGAATATCAAACGTACATGTTGGACAGTCCTGCATGTTGCATGGTTGCTCCTCCAAGGCCAGTCCAGGGCAGGCGTAGTCGCAGCAGTGAGTCCTGGCCGTGCAGGTTCGCGTTCGCGTCTGCTTCCCCCCTCCGCAGCTGGCATCACACGCGCTCCAGGTGCCCCACGGCTCCCAACTAGACAGGGCTGTCACAAGCAGGCAGAATAAAAAGTTTTAATTCAGGAAGGGTAACAAAATGGGTTTCTTTGTGGTATAACCGGCCTTCGGTGTAACACACCAGCTGCATACATAACACACATTTCCTTTAGCATTCAAGGACTCAATCTCTCACTTTTATATTATACTTATACACAGCAAGTTACAAGACATAAGTGACACAAAGAGAGTCTATAAACCGTACAGAATCTGAGGTAGTTGTAAGACTTGTTGGAACTGTAACAATGATATGGTAGACAGAAATACATCTAGTTCCAAACCTGAACAGTTGATATTGATACAGGACAGGCCATTAGGAGTGCAGGTACTGGAAGAAGAAAATAGGAGAGAAATTTAATGGGTGATGGGATTTAATGGGAAATGTAACATTGTTGAACAGCATAATTTTTAATAACTTTCTATTATATCTAGCAAACAGTCTCAGACGATATTTGATGTTTGAATTATACACTCAGGTTTTTCCACTCACCACTCTGTGCACTCGGCTGTGTAGAGGGTGTCTCCCACCTGGTACTCGACACCATCATAGGTACAGACAGGTGTGCAGGTGTCCAGCTGGCACACCTGCGAATGCACGTGTTCACCTGTGCACTCCTGCCCTCCGTTAGAGGCTGGGGGGTTGTTGGGTGACCTGGAAATACAGAAAAAATTGTTGCAGTACTGGTTTAGGTAGAAATTTGTCATCATGGTGGCTCTTTTGTGTTCTTTTTTGATTTCACAAAACCTGAAGGTACTGATTTGTATGTCTAGTTCATTTGACATTTTGTGCCGTACATTGTTAATATAGACTGTCTACCTAGGCTAGCATGAACCCATATAGGTAGGACAGAGGCAAATGGTGGGCTGTCATCAAGCCTCAGCATTAGTGTGCAAGCACATCTAACCTTCAGGAGATGCAGAACAACAGACATTATAAGGTGGGTAGTGAGTAACTGAGTGTCTAAGGCTTCTGAGCTGACCTGTATCTGTTCTGTGTCCCCTGTCCACAGGTTGTGCTACAGTCTGTCCAGGTAGACCAGCTACTCCAACCACAGGTAACTGTCAGGGGAAAATGAAATGACACAGTTCATCATTTTTCTGTGTCTTATAATACAAATGAAAGACATTTACATGTACTTGTGAATAATTCTAGTTGTTACGTTACACCAAAACAATCAAATGAGACTCTATAGATTATTGGGTGTTTGTCCATGCATTATCATTGATAACATCGTTTTCAACAATGATCACTCAATTGAAAAATCAACAACGATGGTCTCACCAGGGCAGGGCTGGTCTGTACAGGAAAAGACTCCTGATTTGCAGGTGCTGAAAAGACATGAAATTTGTACAAGTAAGCCTATTGTAAATTGTCAAGTATTATAGAATTATGATTTTTGTCCTTCAAGTAGAAAAAAAGAAACCATCCACAGTCACTCTTATTTTGTTAAAAAGGTACATAATTGTAAAAGGGAATGCACACAGTGTCACCACAAAATCAGGATTTTTGAGAAGGCAACATACAGTTGTAAAATAATGTCTATTATCTTGTGGGTCAGGAACTCACCAGTTGTTACAGTTGTTCTGCATCACCGTCCCCGGGGCTATGACGTTCCCGCTGTTGTCCACACACTCACACAGAGGGGGAGGAACACACTCCCCATGCTGCAGCAACAGGCCAGATGGACATCTGGGAAGCAGAAGGATATCCATTCATTCTGTTGTCCGTTCATTCAGCTTAAGTAATAATCATTGGAATGATGATTTGACCTCTTCCCCCCCCCCCAAATCTGAGATTTCAAACTTCCATCACCCATATGATTGTATGATAAAGCTTACTCTGCTACATACTATGTTTTGTGTTTCATACATTGCTGGTAACCACCCTTGAACGCCTGTCAATCAATTGCAAGTGAATCTCCACCCTTACTTTGGAACCCAAACATACAACACCTCCAAAAACAAAACTTCTGTACCAGAGGTAACAATTCAGGAGGTTCCTCAAGTGTTGCAAGGGAGAGCAAATCAGCATCCAAGTGAATGAATATTCTTATCTTCTTCTATTGACATAAGGTTTATCATAATGAGGATCAGTAAAGAAGCATCTCAAGGGCTTTAAGTTGAATGTGGTCACACTGTGAAATAACGGACAACCTCACCTGCAGCCCGGAATGCAGTCCTCTTCCTCCACACACACCTCTGTCTGGTGGTAGTCCTCACACCTGTACCCACACTCATTCACACACAGGTCCGGTACCTGGCCTTCTGGACATTCTGGACCTATAGACAAGTAAAAAAAACACAACAAAAACAAGTAAACACAACTGTTACAACAAATCCTCACACCTGTACCCACACTCATTCACACACAGGTCCGGTACCTGGCCTTCTGGACATTCTGGGCCTGTGGACAACAAGGAAACATAGCAAAAAGATGGTTGCTTTTGCCTTGACGAAAAGAGTCTTTCTTTCATATTCAAGTGTCCACCATGCAGTAGATATTGAATTCCACGTTACACTACACATTCACAAAGTTTGAAAACAGAGTCAGAAAATTACTTTTGCCTGAATTATTGTTTCAAAGCATACTCACCACAAGGTTCTGCACACAGCCACCTCTATCAACAATAGCCTAAGATCCAACATCTTGGACTCTTGGACAAACAAGAATTACTGGTACTTTTTGTTGATACTTGTTTCACAGCACACTCACCGCATGGTTCTGCGTTACACACAGCCACCTCCTGTGCAAGACCCTCACACTCCAGCCCGCCATTCTTGGGCGCGGGGTCGGAACAGGTGCGCGACCTTCGTGTGGCCCCCCCGCCGCAGGTGGCATCACACTCCGACCAGGTGCTCCAGGTGCTCCACTCTCCATCAACTACGGCAGCAAACAGGGAACAATTTGTCACTTTCTTAAGCTTAAAAACTCTAAGAAGCCCCCCCCCCGAACTCTTTTTTTAGTCATGTTGAGGTCTCATCTAAAGGTGGCCACCTACCAAGATTCATAGCAATCCATTCACAGCTTCTTGAGTTATAGGAAACAAGCAACCAGGTGGCCCAAATCTGAACATTTTGAGATCTCATCTAGACCTACCTACCTACCTAGATCACCCTCGGTCCCGGCCCTACCGCTAGTCGGATCCGACCCACAGTCGGGCCGATACCTCGGGCAATACGGAATACCCCGTGTTGTATTCTATATGTACATGTACTACCAAGTTTCAGGACAATCCATCCATAGGTTCTCGAGTTATTGTTCTAAAACAAAACACACACACACAAATGCAATTGCTACCAAATAAAGGTAAAAAATTCAAATTTGAAAACAGACTAATAGTATACAGTATATTATAAGCAGTAAGATTTTTCAGCACAAAAAAAAGTGCTGAAAAATAATGCAGATCAAATGCTAAAGGTAAAAATACAGTTCATGTACAGGTATGTACATGGCTTGGCCAACTCCAGAAGATTATGTTACGTTATCATCATTATAAACAGCTCAAAAGGACACAGAAATATGGGAAACTGCAGAAGTTGTCTTTTTCCATGTCTCTCTTTACTTCATCAACACAAATGAACTGTAACAAAAGGATTATATACACAATGCTACTAACTTTTTAGCCTTACCTGAGCAAGCCTCAGTGTTACAGGCCTCTGTCTCCATGTTATAAGACATGTCCCGGCACTTGACACCATTGCCCTGTGGCTCTTGGTAGGTCCTCTGTCTGGTCCTGATGCCCACCCCACAGGATTTGGTACAGTCCGACCAGTGAGACCAGGGGTTCCACGTACAGTCTACGTCACAGGTCTGGTCGGTACAGCGGAACCTGCCATGTTCACAAGTACTGGGGGATACAAGTAATGTTAGATACAATCGATTTTTCGACTTTATGGTATTTCATTTGAACATAACATAAAGTCAAACCACTGTAGTGGTTAGATACAAAAATAGTTTGGAGGCAGATTCATGTGATTGGTACATGTACAATTTTAATATTACAAATCTAAAAAGTGATAAAAGTTTTACTCCTATTTTCATATAACACAGTGCCCGTACCCCTGCTATGTTCTTTTGCTGTAGACATGTTTTCAACCCTTGCAGCTAATATAAAAAATGAGATCCTTTATATTCGTCTGTTGTCAAGCTTTTTATGGTGCTGAAATGCCTTCCAAACATAAACTTGCTATAGAGACTACTGAGAGCTAATATAAAAAATGAAATCCTTTCTATTTATTTGTTGTCAGCTTTTCCTGGTGCTGAAATGCCTTCCAAACAAAAATATCATCTGTCCACATTGTTAATCTACCATTAAGTGCAACTGCTGCATGTAATAATTATAATTTTGAAACCCTTACTTGCTAGAGACTACTGAGAAGTTGACAGAGAAG